GCAGAAAGGAGGTCGTGAGGTGGCGGCGGGCCCTCACTACACTACGACGGAGACGCAGAAGGCGGCGCAGCTTATCATCCACGGAGCCTCATCGCAAGACTCGGGCACCTACACGGCCGTTGTCACCAGACCTGATGGCACGCAGGTAGGCCATCCGAGTATCGTGGGGTTCTCATATGCCACGATTTTGAAAGACTAGTTACCATTATCTTTTGGCAGTGTCTGACCTGTTTGAAATTTGATCAGTTAAAAGCTTCCTATCCGGCAGACTCTAGATTTTTCTCGTCCTCATCCAGGCCAGGGCAGCGGTGGCTCTTGAGGTAGCCTCCACTGGATCTCAAATCAAGGTGGAGGCGCCCATCTTCGTCAGGACTCTCAGCGACCTGGCGGCGAAAGTGGGAACCCGCGTCCGCTTCCTGGTCGAGCTGCGGCAAGCACACGATGTTAAGGTGAGATGCGAGCTGATGGGCCACAAATTTTATTTTCAAGGCCAGATTTGTACCCAATGAACTACCCATACAAAGTGAACTAAATAAATAATCGATAGAGCGTATATTTCATAAGAATAGAACATACGGTATAGAGTAATTTGAACCCTTTCAACAATAGGCCATTGTGGCAACAATGGCATAATTTTTATTTTACAATAAATCAAGAGAAACACGATCTAGGGTTAATCAAGCTGCTTCCCTAAATGAAATAACCGAACAGTGAGGGCTAATACACCATGCATCATTCCGCAACAGGTATTCTGGTACCACAATGACGTAGAAGTCACAGAGAGCCCCAAATTCAGACTACTGCACGAAGGCAACTTTTTCTGCGTAGATATATCTCCCCTGACCGTCGCTGACGAAGGACCATGGAGATGTGTGGCAGAGAACTCCTCGGGCCAAGCCTCGTGCAACGCTCGGCTCAGAGTCATCGGTGAGACAGAGAGAGAGAGAGACAGAGAGAGAGAGAGAGAGAGAGAGAGAGAGAGAGAGAGAGAGGAAGAGAGAGGATGGGGGGGGGGGGGTGAGAGCGTGGGATAGATAGATAGATAGACAGATAAATGGAAAGAGAGAGAGAGAGAGAGAGAGAGAGAGAGAGAGAGAGAGAGAGAGAGAGAGAGAGAGAGAGAGAGAGGGGGGGGGGAGTGGGAGGGGGGGAGAGAGAGAGAGGGGGGGAGAGTGGGAGGGGGAGAGAGAGAGGGGGGGAGAGAGAAAGAGGGGAGAGAGAAAGAGGGGAGAGAGAAAGAGGGGAGAGAGAAAGAGGGGGAGGAGAGAGAGAGAGAGAGAGAGAGAGAGAGAGAGAGAGAGAGAGAGAGAGAGAGAGAGAGAGAGAGAGAGAGAGAGGAAGAAAGCAGCCTTCTCAAGGACCATCACTTCCCTTCCAGTCCCGAAGGGTTACAAGGCCCCAGTGTTCCTCGAGGAGCTGGAGGCCATTCTGACGACCGAGGGCACGGTGAGCTTGGAGTGCAAAGTGGTGGGTGTGCCAACGCCCATCCTCAAGTGGTACAAAGATGGCAACGAGATTAAGGCTGGTGAGGAAAATTTGAATTTACGTATTAGGGAAATGCATTATCATGGATATTTTCTGGCTAGCAAACCGAGTCTCTATTCGATATTTATGTTATTTACTTTTATGAGACACTGTGACACTGTCCGTGGAAATTAGACTTTAGTAGACATAGTAGACTTCATTTATCTATAATCTTCAGTGGGTAATTAAAACAAGTAACTGATATTCAGCAGTCAACTGTATGAATTTGATGTTATCAAAACTGCCAGTGCTTCTCAGCCTTAGAACATTTGCAGGTGATGTGTTCGCTCTCACCGCCAACCCGAACGACCCGACTTCCCTCGGGACTTATACCTGCGAGGCCGTTAACTGCATGGGTCGCGCCATTTCCTCCTCCAGGGTGCGGGTCTTGGCTAGGGACTCGCTTGGCGTCCCATCCAGGTGAGTTGGGAAACTGACCATGATGAGGCAGCGCGAGGAAATTGCTTGGCACTGGGCATCTTGCCGCCACAATCCTGGATTTTTATATTAGATATACTAATTGCCAAAAAAGCTGAAATAAAAAATCCATCCCTACTACTTTTAAAAAGAAGTCTTAGAACACTAAAAGATTAATAAATCTTGTAAGAGCCATGGTCACCTATGTCCTCTCCTCCCTGCAGGAAAGATCGCCGTTCTCCGACTCCAGTTGGTCCTCCACCAAAGATCCTTGAGGAAGTACAGGACAAAAAAGTTAAGGTCGGCGATAAGGCAAGATTAACCTTTAGAGGTATGTAATAGTTAACACTTTGACCATAAAGTACATCCTCGTATTTTTATGTGATTTTGTCATACATTCGTACTTTCCTTCACCTCATAATTTCCTTGGAAATGGAGTAATATGTAAACTGTATCAGTATTTCATTTTCTGCGCAATTTTCCGATGCAGTGGAGACGCCGCCTGAAGTATTATCCGTAACGTGGTATAACAATGGGCACAAGATCGAACTCAGTGACA